TTTTTTCTGTATGTTGATGTGGCTGTTTTGAAGTTCTAAGTACTCGGAACTTCCCTGATTATAATCAAATTACAGAAAAATCTTTCATTTTATTTGAAGGTCTTTGGAATTTCTCGAACATTTCGGAACTTTTTAAGTGCTATCACAATTTTCTATGGAACATCAGTATTGAAGTTCTCTGATCTTCCTGACTTTTTTAAAGTTCTCGAATATTGCACGAAACCTCCCTTAAAATGTGCTCACAATTTTCTGAAGTTCATATAACCACAAACGAAGTGACAGACGACTTACTGGCGAAGAAAACAATTAAAATAATGTAGTTCGCTGTAATAGAATTTTCTTAGAAGCTTGTGCCATCATCCACCAGATGGGATAGTATTTTTGTTTTGGTTATGCACAAAAATGATTTTGTGTATAATGACTCTTTGACAGTGTGCAAAGAGTGTATCATTTTGTCATTTTTTTATGCATTTCAGTTTTGAGTAGAGTGAAAGAGATAGAACCAAAACATTCTAGTACATTTGGTGAAAATGCTAGTTCAATCCAGTAGTAGCATAGAGGTAACTCTAAGACAAGTAGGTCCCGAAGAAACGTGCTCAACTTTTTGGCTCACCTCTGGTACTATCTTCGGTCCCAAGCTTGTCGAATCACCCCTTGAAACATAGGAAAAACCAATAACCCCTCATTTTATCTGTCAAACTTTCATAGCGAATCAAAACAAACATTGCCTAGTACTAGAATTTCGACTAGAATAGGGTACGTTAATCGTTTGCTTGGGACCAATAGGCTACTAAAGTGGTGAGCCAATTTAAAATCGTTAGTTTCGTATTGATTGTTGGTAGTAGTGTTGCCATGTGGTGCAATCCAGTAGTAGTGGTGTTGCCATGTGGTACACTGAAAAATTGCAATAGCAGGTTAGTCACCAAAGTTTTCGAGCCGCTCCGTCTGTCACTTCGTTTGTGATATAACTATCTATTCGTTTTCAAAATTTCCATGAACCTCTCGGAACTTTGCTGAAGTTTTCGGAAATACCCTGAGTTTCTCGGTACTCCTTCAAAATTGTCCTGATGTTCTCTGAGCCTCCCTAAGGTTCTCTCAATTCTCCTGAAACAAATGCAGCTGGCTTGAAAACCATTAAATTTCTCTGAAATTCTTTGGACTAGTGAAGTTTCCGAAAGATGTACGATTTTTCCTAAAGTTCTCTGGACTTTGCTGAAATCCTAGAGTTCTCGAGTTATAACAGAATTTAATGAAACTGTCTTCAATTCATCGGAACATACCCTTACAGATATTTAGACTTACTCAACGCTGAATTTTTCTGAAGGATCAGAACTTCTTAAAAGTTTCTGCAGTTTTCTGAAGCTTATGGAACCGCAATAAAATTCTGGAGCATCCCTGAAGTTCCGGAGAAGTTAAAAAAAACTTGCCGGAGAAGAAGAGATGTTATAAATTATTATTTTCGATGACCTATTTGTTAACTTAATAAAATAATTTCCCGAATTCCAGAAATTGCCTCGATTCGTGACCTGTCGAACATCGATTTCCGTCCTCTATACGTCATCCCCGTTTCGAAAATACTCATATTAATATGGGACGGAACTTGACAATCGGGTAGCGATTTCGAGCCAATTTGCTGTCAAATCCGAGCCAGCTTCTGATTGGTCGATTTGACAGTAGCAATCGTGGAATAAAAAGGAAAGAGGGATCGCATCAATCTGGTTGGCTGTGATGCCGGAACCAATGTTTACGTCAATGGCGTTGTTAATTGTTTATTTTTGCGATAGTTGAAAAATTAAGTGCACTGCGTGTTTTAAGCGATGGATATTGTTTTTTTATATGGTTGTTTTTATTGTGTTGAGTAAAAATGATGTACAAGCTGCTAGACTGCAGTAAAAACACCAACAAACCGACATGAAACTGAATCCAGAAAGGCCGATTCAAATTATCCGAAATAGATTAGACACGAACCAACTCATACATTGCATACGCGTTTTTGTGGCTAGGATAAATATTTTCCGCGAACACAGCGGCAGATGTCAGTTTTGTCCTTTGATCAGAAATTTCTTTGTAATTTGTATGATGATTCATGTCGGTTTGTCGGTGGTACCAGAGCTGAGCTAAAAAGTTGAGCACGTTTCTTCGGGACATACTAGTCTTAGAGTTACCTTTATGGTATTAGCATAGAGGTAACTAAATGCATAAACAAAATGACAAAATGATACACTCTTTGCGCACTGTCAAAGATCATATTGCACACAAAATCAACTATGTTCAAAAAAAAAAAAAATACTAGCCCATCTGGTGGCTGATGGCACAAGCTTCTTAGAAAATTCTATTACAGCGAACCACATTATTTTAATTGATTTCTTCGCCAGTTAGTCGTCTGTGACTTCGTTTGTGCTTCTATTAGAAAAAAAAAAAAAAACAATAGGTCTTATGTACAGTTTTGCGCCTCTGTCAAATTTGTTACATAAGACCATCGACCCCCTCATAGAAGTTAGGTATCGTATGTCACATTGAGCTATGTTTTGGTCAGTTGGCACATACGACAAATAGTTTTTTGATGAGAAAATGAAACAGAAATGAGGTAGCGGGTTCAAATTTTGCCTTTAGAAAGAGTAAGCAGAGTAGTGTCTGGTACCATTAAAATGTCAATTTGTTTACGTTTGTTACCAACAACCCAATCAAAAAGGGCTCCAGTATTTTGCTTTAAATATTGATTTAAAAATCGAGATGGAAGTAAATATGGACTTCTTTGACGTTTGTGAAATGCTTCAATGCAGAACTTGGGGTAAATTATAAGTATTAGTGCAAGAAAACCTTTGAATTTACCCAAACTTCTGCACTCATACTTGTGCAATTCACAAACGTCAGAGATGTCTATTGTTGTGTTCAGAAAACGAACCCAATTTGTGTTTTTTCCTGCGTCAAATTAGCACAACCTATTTTTAGGCTACAACCTTCGATACCAGTTTCCCCTCCGAAAAAAAAAGTTTGTTTGGTTTGGATTTTTGTTTCACCCCGGAGCAAACAAACAAAAAAGCTACACAAACACGACCGACAACGAGTTCTCATGTTTCCATTGTTATTTCATTTGTTCCTATTTTTGTAAACTTTTCACCCCTTCCCCTCACGCTTTTGGCTGTCGAGTTTCTCTCTTCTGTTAAAATAAATCCGGAACAGAACTTTTGAGCGTTCCAGATAGCCCCATATATGTATCTGTAGCTACTTGAGTGCTTTCCAACATCTATCTTTCGGATGATGCTGGAAGACGGACAATGTTGGGATCGGATGGATCCCTGATATAGTTTCAGCTTCATCGAAGTCAAATACTGTGATGTTGATTTATCCCAACAAAACGGCAGGGGTTTAATTATTGAACTTTAGGCCCGCTCTCTGTGGTCTTGTGTGAGTTTGGGTGTGTGTGTGTGTGTGTGGGTGAGGATAGGAGGAACCTATTTTGTGTCCGTGCCCATGTTGCCGCAAGCCTACCGGGAATTCTGAACAACCACCAGCGTCAATCTCTTTGATCTGAGCACAAACCTCCAAGAGGTTTTTGAGGCAAAAGTCGAAAACAATCCCACCCTGCTGCTGAAAACCACCTCCAGCACCACGTGCCAGGATGTTGCGGTGAAAATCTGCTGTTTTTTTCTTTCTCTCCTTTTGCTGCTGTTCCCAGGACAATCAGATACGGAATTGTGGTTTGCGGTGGAAATCTGCTTTGCCAAAGTCATAAGTAGCCGATAGCCGACAGATTATGGAAACATTAGCACGTTGTAGGCGAAATAATCGCATTTCGACAAGTTTATAGTAAGAAATTTTTCGTAATTCCGTCAATTTAAGCAGGATGTAATAAAAATAATCAGAACAAAGTGCTGAACGACGCGTTCGGGGTATCATCCAAACCATTCGTGAAAGTTCTACCTCCGACAAACCGACATGAATGACCATAGCAAAAACAAACAAATTTCTGACCAAAGCACACTACCAACAATCAATACGAAACTAATGATTTTAAATTGGCTCTCTACTTGACTAGCCTATTGGTCCCAAGCAAACCATTAACGTACCCCATTCTAGTCGAAATTCTAGTACTACGTAATGTTTGTTTCGATTTGCTATGAAAGTTTGACAGATAAAATGAGGGGTTAGTGGTTTTTCCTATGTTTCGAGGGGTGAATCGTTTAGCTTGGGACCGAAGAGAGTACCAGAGCTGAGCCAAAAAGTTGAGGACGTTATTTCGGGACCTTCTATTCTTAGAGTTACCTCTATGACACTACTGACATCTGGCTCCGTGTTCGCGGGAAATATTTAGCTAAGCCATGAACCCGCATGCAAAAGCTAATTGGTTCGTGTCTGATCTATTCTGGACTAATTATTTTTATCTAGATCAATAGATCCTATGGTTTTGACAGTTCGGATCACTGCGCATTTAAATAGGCCGTTTACGATTTTCGGGCATAAGTCAGAATTAAGTGTCATGTCGGTTTATCGGTGCTGGTACTATCTTCGGTCCCAAGCTAATCGATGCATCCCTCGAAACAAAGGGAAATCCACGAACCCCTCATTTTATCTGTCAAACTTTCATAGCGATTCAAAACAAACATAGTGTAGTACTAGAATTTCGACTGGAATGGGGTGCGGTAATCGATTTGCATGGGACCAATAGGCTAGTCATGTAGTGAACCAATTTAAAATCGTTTTTTCCACCGTTTGGTGGTACTTTGTATGGGAGCGAGCTGTCAATTTGTTAGTTTTGTGTCAAACAGTGAAGTGGTTACCGGTAAATTTGTCAAAATGAAAGAACCCAATTGTCATCTTGAGTGCAACGTTCGACAATCAATTCCACGTATTTCTACGTTACTTCGGATCAGAAAAGCATGAAGAAACCAACTTGCGAGACTACGAAGCCATCGATATAATTGTTAAATGTTTAATGGAAGAAACGAGAAGTGAATAAACGTTTTTGTTTAGCTTCGCAGCTGCGAATTGGATTTAGTATGTTAGGGTCGGCTCACTAGGTGCGAATCATCCCATCGGGGTGCATTTTCACACACGAAAGTTAACTTCAGCTCACAGTTCCAATCGTTCCAGTGCCAGTTCCAGTTCTTGGTCGGTTCGTACCACATGTGCACGCAGTGTTCCGTGCCTCCAGCATTGTCCGGCTGCAATCTGTTCCACTTGCTAAAGGTTGGTTCCATACCGGTAGCGTGCCATACAAAGTTGCCCTCCTGTGCAAGATCACTCGCCCCGATCCAGAGGTCCGTTTTGGTCATGTTGTAAATTTTCGAGAACTCCACGAGACGGACGATTTCGTTGTGCTTCGCTTCCGAGTCCACTACGGCGAGGCGCATTCCGAGCAGGTGGCAGTACTCGACGGCTCCGATCCAGTTGTGCTACGATGGAAACAAATATTCATGACGACAGTCCGCGAAAAAATGTTTTACTGAACTCTTACCACAACGGTCGGAATGTGGAACTTGGACGGTGAAGTACAGACCAGTTCTTGGCTGCTGGCGATGGCCACCAGTCCGAGAAGAACGGACAGCTGTTTCAAGAAACTAGCCATTTTGCAAACAGAACGGAAAGACTCTGTGTACTGATGACAGCTGTGCTGCTCACTTATATGGGGAAAAGATTTGACGATCGAGTTCCGATAAGGCCCCCGTGTGGTTTGATAAGAGAAATTCTGACAAGACCATTAAAAGGTCGGGGATTTTTATTTTCGAGTGAGATCTCTTGTTGTCAGCTTTGTATCAGCATCAATACAACAGTTACTTGCATATTGATCCTTGCATTATTTAAAAGCATGAACGATAGACCATCTAACAATGTGTTCACTGGTAAAAGATATGTAACATCCATTCAGGGTTGCTTCGACTCACCTCGCTATATGGAATCATTGGATGCTGTAATTAATGTTTTGGACTTGTAGGGTACAAGAGAAGGTCAATTCAATTTTCAAAGAGTCACAACTATTTTATGATTCGGAGCTTTTACTCAGAAAGCAAAATTGACAAGTTTTATGTGTCAAACACATGCTTTTCAATCTTTACTTATTTTGGGGTTTCTAGGAATATTCAAGACTTTCTCGACGAAATGTGGAAGCTGTCAAAATCTTCTGGAAACCAATCGTTATATGTATATAAATGTTATTTATGTTCCAAGGTGGAATTGGTGAACACGAAATCGAAAGCGAAATTTTAGAACGACGAAATTAAAATCACTCAAGTCTAAATGAAGGAAATTTTCCGCAATAACATAAATACAAGTACAAAATATCATTATGTTTCCATAATTACGAACAACATTTTTTTATAGCAAAGCTTGTCACAGCAACCTTGTCCATTATCAGTGCATTCGCCGTCTGATACAATCTGCTTGCTATAAAAAAGCTCGGTGAAGCTGCGCCATCGTCACAGCTGTTGTGTCGTCGAACAGTTCACTAGATACAGAATGATTCGTCTCCTGAGCCTGGTCACATTTCTGACGGTGGTCACCATTGGTACCTCACAGGAATTGTTCTGCTCGTCGCTCTCAGAGTTCTTCATTCCGGACATTAAGGTAAATTGCGAACAACCATAGTGCAGTGTCCTTCCCAACGATAATAATAAACCAATTTTCCGCACCGAACAGGCCAACTGGTACGGTGCGGTCGAGTACTGCCAGCGGATCGGAATGCGCCTGGTCGTGGTGGACTCGGAGGCGAAGCACACCGAAATCGTTCGGCTTGGTATCGACACTGGGACAATAGGGGACAGCTTGTGGATCGGAGCAAACGATTTGGCCCTGGAGGGCCGGGTTATCTGGCACGCCACTGGCAGGTGGGTCACCTTTTCCAAGTGGAAGGCAGGCGAACCGAATAATCTGCGCGAACGGGAACACTGCGTACACATGTGGTATGATCCGTCGAGAAAAATCTTGGGTGAATGGAACGATGCGCTGTGCACCAATTCCTATTATTTCGTGTGTGAAAACGTTCCGATATAAATGGCAATAAAGAGTTGATTGTTGATTTTAGCTACTATTTCGAAGCCGTGTCCTCCATTCCCGGTTCTAAGGGCTCAATATTATTATTCTTCTAGTCAGAATCATGCCCTCCAAGACCATAATAAAACCAGAATTGCTAATTGGGAATGATTTCTATCAAATTTGCTCGCATAATGTAAGCTGACATTTTGAAATGCGGATCAAACAACTCGTTAAATCTCACGAAATCTACGAAATCTTAATCAATATCTCACGACAGCAAAGAAATATCTTCGATAGAGTGGTTCTCCTCGCAGACAGTGTCACCCAGCATTTGACAGATTTTCTATACGAGTTATTTCGTTAACATTAAAAATAATAGCGGGCAGCATTGCAATACCTGAGTTTGTGGACTTGGTGGAAGGAGTTCCGAAAGACTCTCATGAATTACAAAGACAAAAATGTGGAAGACTTGTCAGTGATATTTAGATGGTAGGGCAGCAGATGGTGATAACAAAAACTGAACATGCGCGTCAGTATAATGTATAAATCGTCACTGGCAATTGGGTTCTTTAATTTTAAAAAAAATATCGGTTTTATACATCATCTGAAAGAGTTTCGTTTTTTGAGCACAACGATATTGTTTTCAATCCCATGGACTTTAATCTCGATTTTTAAATCAAAATTTAAAGCAAAATAATATCTTCACGCTAAACTAACTAATTGACAGCTCGATTCCTACAAAGTCCCATCGAGGGGCGCTAAGATGGTGATTTTTGCCAATGTAATCGCACTTATTTAAAATAGTTCCAGTGTACCAAAATCTATGACATTTCAGATTTTGGTTCCATTCTTAATGCAGATCACAAACAGCGGTTGAAAATATCGCGATATTTCACGAAGTTCACCAAGGGAAAAGTTCGCGAGTCATAGTGAGTTTTGGTGAACTTTTCCAACATTGATTACAAATATGCATTTTTCTCAATACCCTTAAAGAACCCAATTTAGGGAGGATCCACCAGAGCACCCGATTGAAGCGAAATGGATGGGAGAGTAGAAATGTCAACTCCCTGTCATTAACATTTCGTGAATAGATGGCGGGTTCTTCTCCCCACTCATTCGAGCATCCTCCTGTTGAATGGACAGTCTTTTGACCGGTTGTTGAAAGGAGATTCTCATTCTTCCCAAGGATGCACGCGGGCGATGTTGCCGATGGATTCATCCAAACGTTTGTTGGCCTTTCATACGATGGAAGATTGATTAAAATTAGAGGTTTTAAACGTGATCAAGTCGAACAGGGAGGATAGTCCACAGTCTACCGACAGTTGTCTTGCTACTATGGGTGGTAGTTTGAAATCATCGTCGTATCTCAATACCCTTAAAGAACCCAATTGACGTGATTTTTCATGGAGATGTCGAGTGAGTGACGAAAACCTGTTTTGTCAATATCGCCGTGTTTGATCGATACTTTGCAGCACTGAAGGCTATCTGAACACTTCTGAGATTTTTGTTAGGAATTTGTATTACATATTCTTCAAACTTGAAAGAGATGTTCTGAGTACCTTGCGTTGAAAGCTTGCAGAGCATGTTTTGAACGTTTTCTGATGTTTGTCATAGAGTCTTGACAACAGGAGAAAGCAAAAAGGTCGTTCAGAGAACAGCAATTGTTTGGAGGCCTTCCTCATAAACGGCCGCTAGTATGACTGATTTTACATGGCAAATCAGCCATTGGGAAACATCGTGTTTGTCATTGACGCACGACAAGACACATAAAAAGATGGTTTCTATAAATTCTTGTCGCACGACAAGACTATTCCAGTCATGACTCTCTACTCTAATAGCATAGAGGTAACTCTAAAGAGCCACCCACATTAGAACTGTTTGCGTTGCGTTGACGTAAATTTGACAGTTAGACAGTTTAGCTGTCACTTTGCCGCAACGCGTCCGATCCGGATCTAATGTGCGTGGGACTTAAGACTAGTAGGTCCCGAAGAAACGTGCTCAACTTGTTGGCTCAGCTCTGGGTCTCTCTTCGGTCTCAAGATAATCAATGCAATCCACGAACCCCGCATTTTATCTGTCAAACTTTCAAAGCGAATCAAAATAAACATTGTGTAGTAAGACATGTGTAGACTAGAATGGGGTACGTTAATCGATTTGCTTGGGACCAATAGGCTAGTCAAGTAGTGATCCAATTTAAAATCGTTTCCACCGGCTGCTAATAGCAAATTCGTGTATTATTCAGTTCCAACCTGGATCGGGTATCAAGATTGGGCCTGCTTGTTTTCTGACAAACGTCAGTTTGGTCGTTTGTTTTCAAAACCCAAATAAATAAACAAACAAAACTGAAAGAGAAAACTCGTCGGTGGAGTAGAGAATTCACGAGAAACTCCCTGCAATCTCCAGCGGCAGCAACGAAAATCTCCAACAAAACCATGCAGAAGCTCCCTCCGGAACTTCCACTGCCAACATCGAAATCGCGCAAAAACTGCTCCGCCGAGAACTTCGTCGAGACTCCCTGGAACCTCCGCCGATAGCATCAGAAATTGCCATCGAAACCGGACGTTTATCGTACACACGCTAGTGTTGGTGAGTTATTTGCCGGGAACGCTAAAAAAAAACTAAGGGTGGATTTTGACGGATTTGGACCTGTTTCATGCAACCGGAGTACACTGTTCACAAATGCCATGCCAAGTTGATTTCCTACGCAAGTGACAAATCTTTGATGTAAATTTCGCTAATCAACACGAGGAGGATTGATTATAGCAAAACTTGCGATACACAATCGTCATAGTTCATTTTAGTAAAGAAACTAACACCTCTTCCTTGTGTGTCTCCTAAAGAGCCTGAATTTATAAAGAGACGACATGTCAAAATTGGAACAATCGATAGTCTGTCAAAGTCATAGGAAAAGTCATTCCAATCGAGCAGAAGACCTGTCAAATAGATAAGATGTCGCCTCTTTATAAATTCAGGCTCTTTAGTGTCACCCAAGGGGTGGTCGGTCACTCTAAAAACTTGCTTTCAGCTCCCTTTTTTTCAGTGTGCCGCAGTTGCACCGAATGTGCCGAGAGTGGCAGCACAAACGAAGTGACAGACGGAGCGGCTCGAAAACTTTGGTGACGAACCTGCTATTATAATATAATACTGAAATGAAGAATTATCACTTCTCTCACTTGACTACATTTGTTGTTGACTTGCCATCTTCGCGAGTAATGTTTGGCATGTGCGTTTTCGACATTTGCTTCCAAAAGCAAACCTAATCAAACCCTGAACACAGTGGTGCCAATTCTAATGATAATCATTTTGATTTTAAAGTGTTAAACAGTACATATTTTTCAACGACAAATCACTTTGTCTCTAAACGCAAATCACTTGGAAATCAATTATAAATCACGTCGATTCGTAGTGCCGCATGTCAGACTAAGTCAAGTGCAAGAGCATTTGGATTAGATGTGACAAATTTTTACCGTGTACTACTGGATTGTACTAGCATTTTCAACAAATGTACTAGAATGTATTGGTTCTATCTCTTTCACTCTATTCAAACTGAAATGCAGCCCTTCAGAAAGCGATCGAGTTCCTCCGACCACGGTAGATGCTTGGCAACAAATTCGGCAAAGACAACGTCTAAACGCATCCAATGGCATTTAACATCTACAACCGCAGGGACAAGCTGCTACTGTTGAAATCGCTAGAACTCTTCCGGGATCAAAATCGGCTGTTGTGATCAAGGATGCTTACGTGGCAGCAAACTGAGACACCGCGGATGCACGGTTTGAGGTGCTCAATGTCATTAAAGATCTTGACGAGAAGAAACGGGACGAAGCGGTTAAGTTGCTAAAAGTTAGCTATTTTGGTCGGCTTAGCGCGGAATGTCAGGAAACCACCTCCACTGTCCATATACTTACTTGGTTCCGGAAAGGTTTTCCTCAGCTGTTCACTAAGGTCGTATCCAATCGACGCTGCTGCAACCGCTATATAGATTTTCGGTTCAGGGCTTGCAACCGATTGACTTCGATACGACGGTGATTCGCCTCGGACAACTCTCTGCTACTCACTCTGGACGATGGACGGTGTGGACAATGGATATATGGACGATGCAAACTGATAACAGATAACTTTCTTGTGTCTAATTTTATAATTGCCACATGCGCTGCGCAGGCGCAAAGATACACCAGTGTTGCCAGTAACGTCAAAGATTATGATAGTTTCTAACCATGGGTGTCAAACTGTAAACCACTTGGTGTCACCTTTGTATTATGCGCCTAGGTTGAAGGCATAGCTTGATCGGAATCCATAAAAGCCATAATAAAAAAAAATCTCATTAACACACGTCTATCATCTTTAATTTCTAACAAAGCGTTATCATTCGGCTCGTTAATCGCTTGTCATTTCGTCATTTGAAGATATTATCAAGGAACTCAACATCAACAGACTCAATGTAGCCTCAATGTTATTTATTTAGTCCTCGATTTAGTCAAACGTAGTCCTGGTGGATGAACCCTTTATCAGGATAAGGAAACATTTCCTAGAACCTTCAGTGATAGCATTTAGAATCGTCTCCGAAATTATGCAGAACCTCCTCCACCGAGAAGGCAAGTAAAATTTGCTGGAATTTCCGCTGGTAGCATCCAAAATCACCGAAATTACGCCGAGCATCGTCCCTCGAGAACGCGGCGAAAAGCCCTCGATATTCTCTGGAACTTCCTTCAGCAGCATCCAAACACTTCACTGGCATCGTGCAGAGCCTCCTTCGTCGACAAAGCGTGGAAACTGCCTGGCATCTGAATTCTCGAGGAGAGTTTGAACAAAGTGTTTGCCTGTTCATGGCGGAGAGGATACCGCACGATTTCGGTTGAGATTTTATATGCTACAGACGGAGGTTCAAGGGACTTTCGACGGAGTTTTCACATGCTCACGGTGGAGAAGGTTCCAGACGATTTCGGTGCTGCCAACGGACGTTCCAGTGAGTTTCGATGGAGTTTTCACGCGTCTTCGGTGGAGATGGTTCTGCACGACTCCGGTGGAGATTTTCGACAGAGGTTCGAAGATCTACGAAGTTTCTAGAAGTTCTACAACGT